ACTGAGTTTGATTATTCTTTGAGAAACACAAACAATACAAGTCAAAACGGTATTGCAGGCTTCACTTGATCTTTGTAGTCTGTAGTGTACTCCGTCATTATGCACAACACATCAGCTTTCAGGGAAAGAAAACACGAGGCAAATTTTGCATTTTTCTGGTTTAGATTGGCAGTGGTAGAGTTGTTTATGGTTGGAATCGGGTCGAGTTCGGGTATAGTATGAATATCGTATATAATTGTCAAAATCCAGCTTATTTACACAATTTTGATTTCAAATTATTTAATTGGTAAACTACAATTACTGTTTTTCGTTTTTGGTTATTGATTTTTTTAAAAAAAAAATAGACATTGATAATATGTATTTTTTTTCTGTTTTGATTAGCTATCGTTAAAAATTTAACAATGATATTCATATCGTCATTTTATTATTAGAGGATATTATTTTTGGCCTAATGGTATTTGATGTGAGGTCTTCAAAAATTTTTTCAAAAAATTAATGTGACCCTTAAATTATTTTTGCATTTAATGTGACCTTCAAATTTAGGAAAAAAGAATTTGATAAAAAAATTAATGTGATCATTTAACTAACAATTTATGTGATTGATTGTTACAATGCGAACGTGATAGTTGACAGTTGTGTATATAATATAATTATTTTAAAAGACAATTCATTCTTAAGAAAAATGATTGAATCCAAAATTTCACCGTGTGAATGATTGCAATAGCATTACTTAACACTTCAACTGCAATAAAATATCATACGATTGAAAGCATACCTAAGACTGCAACTTATATCGCTGACTAGCAATTGTCTCGTGGTTGAAATAGGAAACCTTAATGTAATAAAGAGCGACAATTATGCTGCTTTGACTCTTTGTTTAGTTTTATTGTTCCTGTATGATATATTTGGACAGAAATTCCTCCAAATACATAGGAAATTAAGAAGAAAAAAAAGTTATTATATCCATATAGATAATAGTCATATTCGATACACTTAAACTCGATTAACATAAATGTTACAATTTTTTTACGAAAAACAAAGATAGAAAGAGAGATGAACAACTCGACATTCCGAAAGCAAATTATCTAGGGTAATTTACAGGAGGTTCCAAACTACCTACCAAAATCCCAAAGTCGATGTCTTTGTCTTGGAACTTTTTGATGAAAGGGTGACTCTGCATTAACAAAAGAAGGGCAATCAAGGTTTCGAGAAAAGGGAGGGAAACTCAGAGAACTTGGTAAACCATGTCAAACTAGATATTAGGCAAACACAATCATATAAGAAACCTCATAATTAGTGTATAATTTTATGGCTGTTGAAGTTGTTTTATATTTATGTGATATAAATTTTGATATTTTCACGTCTCTTTTTCGCCTTGTATTGTTTATAACTATTTTTTTCATGTGTAATAAACTAATAATGTTGTCTAACATTGTTAGATTTATTACAAAATAAAAAATAAAACATGCATGAATGTTTCAAAATCTTAATGTCTATGTGAAACTTACTAAGAGGTCCAGAGATGATGCTCTTTCTCGAGGATTCTTCTTTATGCTAAAAATGGAAAGGAAACAAGCAAAAATTAGAAAATTGTCACAAACAAAAAATGACTATGATAAAGAGGGAACCGATACTTACATATAAAAGGATGAGTAAACAAAGAAATGAAATTAATGTAGAAGCATTTTTCATCCTCAATGCAGGCCAAATGTGTTGTCTTCAAAGAAGATACTAGAAAATGATGAGACCAAAAGGCAAGTATGGGCTACTTTTCCTTTGGATAAGAATCTCCAGTTGTTCATTGAATCTCAAATGCAGTGCAAATATGTTGGTCTTCGAAGAAAATTGTAGTATATTGCTATATACACCATTCAATGAACTAATGCATCGATATTGGATAAAACATTGAAGAGGGTTGCTAGCTTACACTAGAAGCCAGAACTATGGCAAACGAATTCCAGGAAACAGGCACTTACTTGGTACATGAATTTGATGAGATGATATAATACAAACTAAACTTGTAAGTATTTACCAGGCTGATACAAATGAACAGAACTCTGGAGATAATTGATCCGATGGAGCAGTTGGAGGATGTTTTTCCACAACTACCTCCAAGTGCTCATAAAAGCTAGGCCAGCTTTGCTGGTCTTCAGATTGCATATATGGGAAACGTCCAATAGCACATTCAAGCACTACCATTCCCAAACTCCAAATATCACTGCTATAGTCATTAGTGCTCCCACTGATTCTCTCCAGATACAATTTGAAACGAAATGATTAACAATAGAATTACATCAAATGATGAATGGCAAACCAAAGTTTTTATAAAGTAATTTCAAAAGTGTGGAAACTCAACATACTGACATGTAGTTGTAAGTCCCGACAAATGTATCTCTCTGGCCTATAGAGCTACCCAGCATTGCACTGACCCCAAAGTCAGTGATCTTCACTTCTCCTTTAGGTTAACCAGTAGATTGGATGGTTATATGTCCCTATATATTACATGCCTTTCATGGTGCAAATACACAAGTCCCTGTAGAACCTGAAATATAAAGATGTAAGAATAGAAAGAGCTCGCTTTTTCAGCTTTTTCTATGACGTTGTTTAGGGCACTCATAAACTTCCAATTCAAAAAAAAAAAAAAAAAGAAGGAAGAATACCTGCTTACACAGAACTGCAAGATATGGTTCAAGAATTGTGTTAACTTGTCTGATCACATCAGCCAGAGATCCACGGTCCATGTATTCTAGCATCAGGGATATGGCCCCATTGTGATAGAAAGAATGGTAGCAAACCACAACATGTGAACATTGTGATGCTTGGTTTATTATCATTTCCTGCACAATTTGCTTGCGGACTTCCTCTTGTATGTTCATTTGGATGACCTGCAGTTAATAGCCAATAAATTTCTCCGAATCTGCTTTTCTTCATTTATAACAACCATGTTGCAAGCATTTCGGAAAAAAGGTTATGCCACATGATATTTAAGTCAATATTCCAGCAGATATCGTTGCAGTAAAGAGTAAAGATGTTACACAAGAAAAGAGAAGCATACGTTAACTACCTTATTGGTGCTAATCTGTAGTATAGTTCGAAGCAAACATATGAAAAGAAGTATGGAACATTCCTTCTATTATATGTAGGTCTTTAACAAAATAATACTACATTTCTTTCACTGTGAAAATAGAACAAGAATTTTAGGTCATAATTCGTAAATGGTAGTAAACATGCCTTCTCTTTTCACCACCCTCTCATCCCAAACTATTACGATCCCCATTAAAAATACATAGATACGTACATTAGGAAATTCTAACATCCTACATGAAATTGAAAGGACAAAGACAAAGATAAAACTTAACTAGTAATCTTAACAAGTTAACAAGAAATAAAAGCTAAAGACAATAGTGAAATCAGCAGAGCCTCTTCGTAGCAAGTCCAAAAACTAAGTGATTGAAAAGGGGTTGTCGGTCTTGAACAATTAATTACCTTCAAGGCGAACAATCTTCCTACCCATTTATGGCGAACAAGTTGCACTACACCACCACTGCCCTTCCCGATAACTTTGATGGTCTCAAGATCTTCCAATGAGAATTCGAAATTGAGCTCCTTACCGTCTGAAGGCTGCTCAAAGTAGCACAAAAAATAGAAGAATACGTTGAATCCCTTGAAAATTGATACCTACAATTTTCATATGAACTTGAAAATTGAGCTAAAGGATAAATAACTTCATATGAACTTGAACATGTACTGCTGTATCATAACTAGTTACCAACATGTTTCAAACTAAAACCAAAGACTTTGGGAGATGGGGATAACTTGGAAGTGTTTTACTAATCAATTGAAGTAGCAGGAAGACCCTGAATAAATAATATGGTCAAAGAATCCAAACGCGATGATTATTTTTTAGATAATACTGCTTGCCAAATACAGCAGCACCCTTTGAAACAGAGGTGCATTCGCAACACAATACTAAATTACTAATACTTGCAACACAGTACTAGATTACTAATACAAGAAAATATAATTGAGTTACCGTTTTCAATATGGACATATCAGACGTGAATTCCAAGACAAATTAATAGCAACCCCTTATATTAGTTAGAGAAAATTACTCAGGATTCTTTTTCATCGGAAATAACACGCATCCCTTTCTGATTTAAAAGCAAATCCCCATCATGAAATGTCCCACTCACCGTCCTGAAGACATTATAGTTAAAAAATTCAAATTCAAATTCAAAATATTTTCACCGGCATTTGCAGCAAAACAAGATCAAGTGCTACAGGAACCATGAACCAATCAAGCCATAACTTCGATTCAAGAAGCGAAACTTTGACCCAAAATCGTAGCCATCCTGAAATACGCTCAATAAGAAACGGAGAAACTTACAAGAACGAAGAGATCGGGGTTTCTTGAGCTGGAACAGAGAGCTTTAGTTGTTTCAATGGCTTCTTGCTCTTCATTTTCCTTTTTCTGAAAGATTTTATTTAACTGCAAAGTTAGGGTTTTATAGAAATAAAACAAAAAAGATGGGGGCTTTCTTCTTCCTGCTTTTATAATGTTTTATTCAGAAAGTGAGGATGGATTCGTTATAAATTCAAAAGAGAAAGAGCGCGGAAAAATAATTCAGTTTTTCTCTTTTAAATATTAATTCAAATCTAATGCAAGGTAAAATAACTATTTAGTCCCTGTCTTTTATCATTTTTTGTCGGATTGATCCTTAAAAAATAAAATTTTAAAATTTTAAAATTAAACGTTTAAAACTTAAATTTCGTCAATAAAGCTGTTTATATGTATCAAATAAATAAAAACAGTTGTTTAAGGGTGACATTATACGTAGCTCAAATCGGATTCACACAATTCTATCATTGTACGCAGAAGCGAACTACGACAGTGCATTGCACATGGTAAATCAATTCCGATTACGCCAACTGCACGGCATAGGGACGTTAACTTTCGGAACCCTTAATGCAAAACACCAAGAACACTTCATTTAACCACCCAAAGTCCCAAACCAAAAACCAACATGAGTATACATTGCAGATGTAACAAAAGTTTAACAGTAGTATCACCATTACAAACACCGAGCATTATGTTACGGAAAAAGGTTCCGAACGAGTTTAATACTAGTAACTAGTAATACTATTATTCAACTGCATCCGGCCAATACTTCGGGAAGTAGCGGATACAAGTTTGTACAGAAATAAAGAAGAATTGAAACAAATAAGGCACACCAACAAAGATCAATAACCCTGTTCAACAAGATAATCACCGAGCCTTTCGACAACCATGTTGCATTGGCCGGGAGTCATTGGTTCATCGTATATTCCGATGAGCAAGGCCATATTGGACTTTTTAATAGTAATACCTGCAGGTCCCTGACGTTAAAATAGTGTAAAAGGATCAGGATACAACCATGAATGACACTGAAACTACTCTACGGCTGCAACGTTATGCGGTAACGGCCTCCTCCCTTCTTTCCTCGGTGTGTCTCTGTCTGAAGAAATACACTCCCGAGTCCCGACTGATCTCGGTGAAAGGAGGCATAAGACAGCAGCTACCTGGAGTTTAAACAACAAAAGCCAAGTGCATACAAAAAGCAACAAGACTACAGCATCAATGTACCAAATCTTGAGTAGCTGATCAGGCATTAGCACCACTCGATGTGCTGAAATGCTGCATAAGTTTGAATATGAAGTTTTGGGGATTTGCCGATAAAATAAACTCGATGTAATACATATTTATATTTTCGTATCAAAAGATCGACGTGGAAATCCATTTCGAACGAAATTTCATAATGTCATATGCACTTTCCAATACAAATAATTAAGAGGACAAAGTAAAAAACTAAAAAACAGATGAAGAAGATCACCTTCTTCCCTCGAATAACAGCTCCCGGTTCACCTTGGATCACCATGTATTTTGTGCCACCGAGATACAATCCAGTTGGAGCAAGTGATCCAGGTTCAGCAAAGTCATTCATGATTGCATCAATTTCTTCTTGTTTGAACTGAAATAAGCATAAAAACTAGAAGCAATAAGCATGGATAAATAACAATACAGACCCATGAAAGGTTAAATCAATACTAAGAGAAACAAACAAACCCGGAAATCAATACAGATTCTCAATCCATGAAAGGATAAATCAGCCAATAACTCACGCAACATGAACTAATGAAACATAGCAAAAAGATCCCAACTTAGAGTACCAAATCTATTATCGGCAATGAGTGAACAGATATCGATGCGCTTGGAGCAAAACAGATTAGCCAATGAAGAATGAACACAGAATGCAATGTTATATCAAACAGATCGCCTTATTCAAAGCATCAACCTTTTGTTTTTACAAAACTAAACCCAAAATGGGCAAGAGGTTGATGAAAAACCAAAGGGTCGAAAAAAAGGGTGAAGAGTTGAAAGGAGAAGAAAACCTGGGGGAAATTGGAGCTTTGGGCCCAAATGCTGCCGTCGTGGCCGACGATGGCGGCGGAAGAGAGATGGTTGCCTTCAATATCGCACATCAAGTGTTCATCTACATATGCTTGCCACGACATCTTCTTCGTAAACTTCACCTGATTTTTCTCTTCGTTGAGTTTGAGAGTAAAAGAAAACGCTCGAAAATGTTGGACTGCAAAGAGGCGAAGCTGTGCTCTGGGAGGGACACGAAGATATAGCGCTGAAACAACGGGATCTGTCGGCCTTTTATTTTGGTCAACACAATAAATATACTACTTATAGCCATTTCCCCCCTTATTTAAGACCTAAATTTCGAAAAGAAAGTATTAAAACATAGGGTAAACTATACGGGAGACCACCAAACTATGATCATTAATTAATCATGTCATCGAATTATTTTTTATCTCAATTAGACCATCAAACTTTTTAATTAATTCAATCAGACTATTCTCTGTTAAAAAAACGGATTTGATGACGTGTCCGTTAATAAAACTGGCATAATTATATATTTAGTCATTAATATTTATATATTCTATCAATTTCGTGACACATTTCAATACATGATTAGAAGATTTCATTTATAAATTTTAAATTATTTAATTAAATGATTTTTAACCAATCAGATGGTGACACGTGTCATCACCAATTGAAGTAGAAAATAGAAGAACACAACAATGCACCAAAGGAGATTTGAACTTGTGTATGTGGGAAGAATAATCAGGGCCCAAACCGTTGGGCTAAGGGTCCTATATGATTCTAATTTACAACAATTTATATTTTACTTAAAAAGTTTGTTAATGTTAAAAAATAAACAAATTATTTGTTTAAATAAATTATTTTTTTTAACCGTTAATCGAACCGAAATTTATTTGAAAATTATGAATTGAACCAAATTAACCGAATTTTTTTTCTTTAACATTAATCGAACCGAAATTATTTGACCGTTAATCAAACCGAAATTTATTTGAAAATTATTAATCGAAACAAATTAACCGAATTTGTTTTCTTTAACATTAATCGAACCGAAATTATTTGTCCGTTAATCGAATCTAAATTTATTTGAAAATTATTAACCAAATTTTTTCTTTAACCATTAATGGAACCAAAATTATTTGACCGTTAATTGAACCCAAATTTATTTGAAAATTATTAACCGAATAAAATAAATTATTTAACCGTTAATCAAAACAAAATTTATTTGAAAATTATTAATCGAACCAAATTAACCGATTTTTTTCTTTAATCATTGATCGAACCGAAATTATTTGATCGTTAATCGAATCGAAATTTATTTAAAAATTATTAACCGAATAAAATATATTATTTTTTCCTTAACCATTAATCGAACCAAAATTTATTTGAAAATTATTAACCGAACCAAATCAACCGATTTTTTTCTTTAACCATTAATCGAACCGAAATTATTTGATCGTTAATCGAATCAAAATTTATTTGAAAATTATTAATCGAATAAAATAAATTATTTTTCCTTAATGTTAATCGAACCGAAATTTATTTGAAAATTATTTACATTAACCAAATTTTTTTCTTTAACCATTAATCGAACCGAAATTTTTTATCATTAACAAACTTTTGAAAGAAAAATACAAATTGTTGTAAATTAGAACTATTCGGGACCCTTAGCCCAATGGTTTGGGCGCCTGGTTACTCTCTCCTACAGACACAGATTCGATTCTCCTTGGGCGCATATTTGTTCTTCAATTTTCCATTTCAAGTAAAATACAAATTGTTGTAAGTTAGAATCATATGAGACCCTTATCCCAATGGTTTGGGCGCCTGATTATTCTCCCCAAATACACAAGTTCAATTCTCTTTGGCGCATTGTTGTGTTCTTCTATTTTCCATGTTAATTGGGTGGTTGACACATGTCATCACCTGATTGGTTAAGAAATCATTTAATTAAATAATTTAAAATTTATAAATAAAACCTTTTAATCATGTATTGACACGTGTCACGTTTTAATTGGATAGTTAAATTTATTTAATTGAATTAAAATAGTAACTAAATTGATAGAATATATAAATATTAAGTACCAAATATATAATTATGTCAGTTTTATTAACGGGCACGTCAGTAAGTCCGTTTTTTTTAACGGAGAGTGGTATGATTAAATCAATTAAAAAGTTTAGCGGTCTAATTGAGATAAAAAATAGCTTGATGGCAAAATTAATTAATGACCATAGTTTGGTGGTCTCCGTATAGTTTACCCTAAAACATATGTTGACGAGGGAAACAAGTCGTTCAGCCAAATTCAAATGCAAATCAAGCCATTTTAAAACGTGAACAGAGATGCCTCTTACTTGGAACCCACGACTTGATAATAAAGATGGCCTTCGATTTTGAAGCTAAGTCGTCGACTCATTATAACAATTCATTTTTTAGTTCATTTTTTCATAGATTATTATAATTTAATTTAGGGTAAAGTGCAGAAATGGTTTTCGATTATAGTATTTTGTTTTGTTAAGTCTTATGACTATTAAAAGTTATAAAATAAATACTTAACTATTATATGTTCCAAACTCGACTTTTTTTCGTTAAAAAATTGATGACAGATTGAGTTTAACATTGAGCTACTGACTAATATATGCTAAAATCTAATATTAGTATCTCAAACGACTATCATATCTCAGGTAGCATCTTAACGTAACATCTAGCTCAAACGACTATAATTTTTTATCGAAAAATGACGAGTTTGAAACATATGAATAGTCAGATGATAGTTTTGTAACTTTTAATAGTCAATGGACTCAATAAAACAACACCCTATAATCATGGAACAATTTGTATTTTACCTTTTAATTTATTCATAATAAAAGTTTAATTTAACATAATCAAATAAACTAAAATAAATCAAACTAAATTTTGAAATAAAAGTTGATTTAATTTAAACTTCAACATTGATATTCGATTTTTTAAAAATAATTTGAGATGATTATAAGGTAATATTTGTTAATTATTTTTCTTATCAATTGACAATGCACATATACCTTATAGATACAACAATTCGAATCTAGAACCTACAAAAATCTTTTTAATCACCGAATTTATATAATAAATTTATATTTAAATTCTAAATCGAGTTGAGACCGTTAATTTACCATTAAGATTTAATAGCTCTGAAGAGTTACAGCCTATCTATTTACATTTCTACTTCAAAGTGGCCCATTTCATTTATAGTTTACGAGAAGAAGGTGAAAAAGGGGGCCCATTTTCAATCGCCTGTTGGGTGTGCCCGTCATATAATGATGATCAGAAATTCGAAGGTAAGGTGAGCGTTTAATCGAGTCAAGTTATAGAGTTTTGAGTTATTCTAGTTGATGGGTTTTAATTTATATTTTAAATTTTATTTGAAAATTTTTGGAGTTGTTCCAACAACAACAAAATCTTATTCCCATATGCAATGGGTAAGGGGGAGGTAGGGTAGTAGGTTGCCCCCAACGCCATGTTGAGAGCAACTTCCGTGGAAGACCTCCGACAGTCAGAAAATTAAAAATAAAGATAAAATGCAATGCATATATATAAAAATACATAGTTGAAGCAGTCTTCATATGCGCTTCTGTAATGGGAAGTAATCCCTGTAAATGAATCCCTGCGAAAAATCTCAGCATATAGACAGAAACGTAAGACCCGACAAAATTTAAAAAGAGGAAACATGATGAGAAGGATACACAGAAAGTCAACAATAGCAAGCAACGAGAAGGAATAAAGTCAAATGGGTTAAAACCTAAATTAAGGCAACACTACTCCGCTATCCTAGTTCTAAGCCTTCATAAATTCCAATGACAGTGACGTAAAAAAAAGTCATAGAAATTACTACAAATGCATTAAAAGAAGACAGAAATGATTCTAATTTAAACGATATGCAATAATCATGTACAATATATATAAATTTCTTCATATTTTTCAAATTTAATATATATATCATATAAAATTGAGAGATTCAACTCAAATTTAAAAATCAATATTTTAATTATTAAAAATTTCAAGTTATTATAGTTCTATTTTATATCTTAATTCAAATTTGAACTTTATTCAAGGTAAATCATGTTTATAAATTTACAAGTTGAGTTAGTTTGAGTTAAATTTATTCGAATCAAATCGAGTAGAAAATATTGATTTTTTAGGTGAATTTTGCTCCGACACTAGGGTCTGTTTGTTTGGCTGTAATTGGTTTTCTGGAAAATCAATTCCAGAAAACCAATTGCATTTCTGGAAAATCAATTCCAGAAAACCAATTACGTTGTTTGGATGCTGCATTGTAAAATGTTTTACGCTGTTTGGTTAGTTTTCCTGAAAACAATTTACGAAATCTTTTTTTTTTTGTAAAAATGTATATATTTTTATATTTTTCTTGTTATTTACATTTTAATTTTTTTAAGTTATTTTATAAAATTGTATTGGCTCAAAAAGGCAATTGCGTACCTTAGCACTGTAAAATCTACTTCTTTATAATCCGTGATGTATCTTTGAAGTCATTAGCATGCTAACTGCTTTATCAGCCGTCACCGTAAGGGATAATTTTGGTTGTGTTTTTATTGCCATTTCATTAGTTAAATATCTAGCAAATAATGTCAGCTGCAATGTGATTAGTGAATGATGTATTGAGTTGCATTTGTTACTTTTTCCTTTGGAAGATTAAATTGAAATGCCATAAATTTTGGATGTCGTTGTTTTGTTGTTATAAACTTCAAAGTTTCAATATGGTCATGCTAAATCACTTAAAACTTTTTCTTTAAGTGAGGCTTGAAAATAAGGATTTATTATATAATCAAACAATGTCACAATCTGACTAATTGGACATTATTGCATCATCTGTATAAAGAAAGGGGTTTGTTGTAAAGATAAACATCTCTGTTGTGTCTTCTGCATCAAAACCTTGGGTTCCTTTTCCTATTTGATATATTACTTGGACTTAGGGAGTAGTGCATATACTATATTTGTAAGTATCTCGCATGGTAAATTGAGGAGAGTGAGATCTACATATCGTCTGCCGGATATTTATTTGGCCAACAGAATACTTACGTAAAATGAAGAGTCATTTTAATTGGGTGGAAAACTTGTCTTTGTTCTGTTTATGGTCATTTTGTTCCTGAATTTTAGTGGTACATTGACACTGGCTTATAGAAAGCTTGAGGTGTCTGAGTAATCTGCTTGGAACAATGAATTTCAAAAGGTAAAAATTTCTATTGGATCCGATAGAGACATAATGCTCGAAAAGGTGATAGATAGAGATGATGGAGAAAATTTTGATTACAAACATTAAGATAACGATATTATACAACCATAATAATACAAAGATATTGTCTGATTCATAATTAGTTCTACAACACATCAAACCGACATATGATTAAAGTCTAATAATAGTACTACAACACATTAAAGTTTAAATACTGTCTAAGTCATAAATAGTAGTACTCCACATTAAAAGTTCACATCCTAACTTTGAGGAAACTTTTGAAGCCAAAGTTTCCTATGTTTTGATTTTTTTTGCTAAGAAAGCTTTGGCCTCCAACTCATTTTTTGCCAAAAAATCGAACACCTCACAAAGAAATTCATCATCAAAGCCTTCAGAATAAACTTGATATACTACATGTCAAAACTTGATAAAATATCCTATTTTATAAGTTCAATTCTAAACAATTTTATTTTTCAATTTTATTTCATAAGTATTAAGCTTTTACCTAAAGCTAAAGTTCATATTACATTTAAGCTTTTACCTAAGTTAAAATGGATGTAATTTATGTCGATATACTATTAAGAATTTATGTCATAAAGATATACGATGAACATGTTAATATGAGATTTATTGTTTGTGGATCACCACGTCTATTGGTAGTTTCAAGTTTTTCCTTCGTTCAAAAAATAACATATGCTACTAATATTTTGTTCATCCTGTTTTATATTGGTTATTACTGTATGGCCTGCAGGACGCATCCCTATTGGGATCTTTGGAAGATGGACTTAATGCCCTTTTGAGCATAGAAGTAAGTTCATAGAAGTGCTTTTTTTTTCCTCCTTGGATGTATATCTTTAGTTTACCTATTTCAACTTATATGTTTATTTCCACTATCATCTTTTGAACGTCAGAATATGAGAGATTAAACTAGTTATTGATGTATCTAGATTTGGGTAGTCAGTTGGTGAGTTTTAATGCCAAATACAGGACATCACAAGATCTTATATTCCTTCTTTCTTTTTTTAAAACAGTTTCACATCTCCATTGTCTCATCCTAAATGTTCCAAACGATAGTTTTATTATAATTTAGTTAACCTAAAGCTAAAGTTCATATTACGTTTAAGCTTTTACCTAGGCTAAAGTGGATGTAATTTATGTCGATATACTATTAAGAATTTATGTCATATATCATATATTGAAAAACGCACCTCGTTTCCCTTTTGTTATCAATGATATGCCAGGTTCAATGGTCGATCCTCGTAATGGAGAAAATTTTAACCAAATGTGCAGGTGAACTCCAGTAAGAATAACCTACCAGAAATATTACAATTAATAAGATAAGAACGTCATATAACAGAAATATTAATCGATGAGAACAAATTGAGAATACGAAATATTAATTTTTGCGGAAAATCCTGATAACATCAACTTAGCATAAAATCCAATGATTCAAAATGACAAGAACATCGTTATCATTTAGTTCTAAACTCAAAATCCACTTAACATTGTGTTATTCTATTAGTCAGAGTATAAAACCAAAATCAAAAGCCGAGAGTTAGTAGTTATATGTGTGTGTGTGTTTCAGTTAGTTCCTACCATGTTATGCTTGATTCTAACACGTTGCACTGTCTTTGTTTTTTCCGAAAAGAAATTGTTCATGGAGAGCTAATTTCTATTTAATATTCCTATTGTAGGATTAGTTGGCATACTTTTAAAAGAACTTAAGGATGTTCTCACTCAATTGGGGCTTTCGAAGCAGGGGAAGAAGCAGGTCAATAGAATGTTTAGATTATGGACTGTATTTTAATTCTCTTGTTCGAAATGTCTCTGTGGAGTCTTTTTATTTCTCTCTGTTCATTGTTTGTGGTGTTTTTCCTATCGTTTTCTAATTTCTCTTTATGTGGCTACTAATTATTATAAATTTTAATGGTGTTTGATGAGATCACACTATTTTTTACCATCATGTGACATTGGTTCTCAGAGTGCTAGTATTTAGTTGTTGATATGCTTGTGTCTTTAACTCAATCACAATCAATATTGTATATTGTTTTTGGCTTTAGTTCTTAGTAGGACCTTGTATCACTCGTTTTGTTTTTGTTTTGTGGGGGGGGGGAGGGGGTTGTACTGGTTTGTGGGATGTGATCAAGGAAAATAATTATGGAACTCGTTACATTGTTGAGAGAGGTTACAAACTACAGTTCAGAGCACAAGATGAAACCAGCAAAACTAGGGCTTGGTAAAAAAGGAAAAAAACATCTCTAAGAGTTGTCATGGCATACTATATAAATCGGCTGCCATGGCCAAAGCCCATGAAAGCTAGACATCGAACTTACTTTGAACTGCCAAAAGCAAAACCACAACTACGATGACTAAAGATTTTCAATCCGCCATTGAAGAATAGGAAAAAAGACCCAACCAGCACTGAACGTACCCAGAAACATAATAGAATTAACAAAAACACAGAACTTACAAGTCGGCGATAACAACCGGACTCCGTTTTGCGAGCGAGAAGAATCCGACGAATGGTAATCTGGAAATGGTAAGTTGGAAAAGTTGAGTTCGACCTCCTAAATGGTAATCTGGAAAGCATATGGACAGTAAACAACGAAAAAGATAGAAAATTCATAAGCAGGAAACTATCACCACATTCAGAGGGAAAATGGCAGTGTGATTGGTACCTTTTAAAGAGATTTACCCTTGGAAATCAAAGAGAAAAGCAAAGGGGGAGGAAGAACATTAGGGATTCAAAATATTACCTTGGAATCCTAGAGCTCCTCCCTTGATTTTGCTGGAAAAATCTGTTGATTTTGTTGTTGGTGAGAAGGAAGATGGTGATAGTTGATCGGAGAATGAAGAAGATCAAAGGCAAACAAAAATAGGAGGCAGGTTCGTAAAATGAATTCCCGATTTTTCCATGGTAAGTTGTTTTACGGGCAAAAGGAGTTTATTTTACGTTAACTGTAATTGGTTTTACATTGACCATAAGCTTTTACGGGAACCAAACACGGGAATTGAGAGAAAACCAATTACGGGAATTGATTTTCCTGAAAACAAACAGACCCTAAATTGCCATCATATTTCAAAGCTCGACCCAAACTATGTAAGCACTTTTTAGTTTGAGAAAATAACCTCAATGACCGAAAATATCTTATAATATACGATTTTAACCAACTTTTTTTGGATTTTCCAAAATGACCAACAAAATCGCAACGCGAACTCCAACTTCGCAACTCAGTATCCAAATTCGCGTTGCGATAGTCCAAATTCGTGTTGTGATTTTCCATTTCGCGTTGCGATAGTCCAAATTCGCATTGCGATATCACAACGTGATCTTAAATTCGCAACTCAGTTTCCAAATTCGCGTTGCGATAGTCGAAATTCGCGTTGCAATTTTCCATTTCGCGTTGGTTATTTTCTCATACAAGAATGATTAAAAATCAATATTTAAAATTAAATTATTAAAATAAAATTAATAGGAGTTGGTTCAAGTGGTAAACAATTTGATATTAATTAAGTAAAGTCTTGAGTTTGAGTCTTTGTGTATGCAGAAAATTCACTCACTTACTAAAACTAGATGTATGCCGTAAATTAATCTAGATTAATCAAAACAAAACTTTAAGATAAAAAAGACAACAAAAACAATTACTAAAATAAAATAAAATTAGTGTTTAAACCAAAAAAGTGGAATATAGAAAAATCGAACATTTTCATGTAATATCTGGTGGATTTTTACTAGAGAAAATAACTTCAGTGACCGAAAATGCCTTATAATATACGATTTTGATCATTTTTTTTTCAATTTGCCAAAATGACCAACAAAATCGCAATGCGATCTCTAAATCGCAACGCGATCTCCAGTATCGCAAATCAGTTTCCAGATTCACAACGTGATTTTGACTATCGCATTGCGATTTTCCAAATTCGTTGCGATAGTCCAAGTTCGCGTTGCGATTTTCCAAAATCGCAACGACTGGTGGTATTGCATTTGTTTCTTAAGAATTTTCTCTAAAAAGATAGTATCCGCGCGGACATGTCGAAGACACGTATTACCACGAGACGAGACGGGACGGGACTGCGGCGGCGGCGGTGCGCGAGAGTCCCCCTTGTTCTTTTCCACTCAACAAGGAAGTGGGAAATCCAAGCCTTAAATACGCATTCCCAATAGTGTTTCTAATACTATGTGGGATTAAGCATTGCAAACACTTGAGAATCTTTTACACTATCGCAACACATTCTTTATTGTTTCAAACTAAGATCTTACAAATGGCTTGGGAATCTTTTACACTATCGCAACACATTCTTTATTGTTTCAAACTCCACGTAAATTTGGAATAGTTAAAATGTAAACTTATTTTGAATTTTTCACTATCGCAACACTTTTTCACTATCGCAACAACACGTTTTTCAAACTCTCACAATACATTTTAACTATCGCAACACATTTTTCAAAATCGCGTTGTTAATCTTACAATCGCGTTGCGAATTTGGAAACTGAGTTGAAAAATTAGAGTTCGCGTTTCGATTTTATTGGTCATTTTGGTAAATCTAAAAAAAATTAGTTAAAATCGTATATTATAAGACATTTTCGATCTCCGAGATTATTTTCTCTTCTAGTTTTTAGGTGATTTATAGTTCATAGACCAAGGTCAAGTTTGTTTTTCAGATTCACAGTATATTTTCTTGCCTATAAAGCATATAGCTTGCGTGCACAACACAACATCACAAACTAAGCGATTCATAAATCAACATTCTCACATGAAAAGTTACTCGTACAACAACTGAGCAATAAATGCCCGAACTGTATAAGAAAGCTTTCAACAACAATTTCTATCATCGATGTCAGCAGCCTCATTTGTACAATCTGTCGAGCAAACCAACCCATCACTGTAACCATTCTTGGCGTCTTCCAGAAAAGAAAAAAATGGGATGGAGTTGCCTCCTGGTTTTTATCCTTTGGCAGATGATGTCTCCATCAGAAGCGGCGGCCTTTACTGTCGGTGGTGGTGTTGGCATTAATACAGGCGGTGGCGGCGGTGTTTGGGCTGGTGGAGGAATCAACAACAACAACCCCACTCTACCAGGCCCTTCAGAGTCGAAGCTCACCAGTGCTTACACGGCTCTACAAGCTTGGAAATCCGCCATCACAGATAACCCATTAGGTGTTTTGAAAACTTGGGATGGCTTAGATGTGTGTTCTTATAAAGGAGTTTTTTGTTCAGATCAACAAGGTGCAATGGATTCATCATACGGACCGTCTGTTGTAGCCATAGATCTCAACCATGCAAATCTTCAAGGTACTCTAGTCAAGGAACTCTCTCTCCTTACAGATATGATAATCTTCCACCTTAACAGCAATAGGTTTTCAGGCACAATTCCTGCTACTTTCAAAGACCTTTCATCACTTCAAGAGTTAGATCTCAGTGGCAACTATTTCTCTGGTCCTTTTCCATTGGTTACTATATATATGCCAAATCTTGTTTATTTGGACCTTAGGTTCAACAATTTCTCAGGATCAATCCCTGAAAATCTTTTTAATAAGGGACTCGATGCCATTTTCCTCAACAACAATCAATTTGAAGGTGAACTCCCTGCAAACCTGGGGAACTCACCAGCCTCTGTGATAAACCTGGCTAACAACAAATTCAGTGGGAACATACCGTCTAGCTTTGGCTTCATGAGCTCCAAATTGAAGGAGATTTTGCTTTTGAATAACCAGTTAACAGGCTGCATCCCACAAGGTGTTGGGATGTTCTCCGAGATGCAAGTGTTTGATGTGAGCCAAAACTCACTCATGGGTCATTTGCCTGACACCATGTCTTGCCTGACTGACATTGAGGTTCTCAATTTGGCACACAATGAACTCTCTGGCGTACTGTCCGAAATATTTTGTTCTCTAAGGAATCTTGTGAATTTAACTGTTGCATACAAATTCTTTTCCGAGTTTGGCCAAGAATGTTCCAAATCTTTCTTTAGGGATGTGGGTTTTGATTTCTCACTGAATTGCATTCCGGGGAGAGACATGCAGAGACCCCAACCAGAGTGCAGTGTTATCCCTGGAAGTGGGTTGAGCTGCCTGAGAATTCCTTCGCCACAGCCTCTAGTCTGTGGGGCATTGGGTGGGAATTTGAAGCCTAATCAAACCTCAACATTATCTCCATGATGTCATACATGTTCATGGATGGCAATTCATTAATAGCAATTCATTCGTTCATGGATTCGGTTACATCATGTAGCATAAGAGACATGTCTGTCATGGTTCCAAATTTCATTTCCTAATGGGCAATATTGTATGGTCTAACCAGATAGTGGATACCCTAAGGAAGTCTCCAAGTAAAGAACAATTCTAGAATTTGCTTATTATTATTAAAAAAATCTTGAATTTGCTTTGGGTTAACTGGTAAAACAAATGTGAAGAAAAAAAATGGGGGCATTTTCCCCCAAGCATAACCAAAATCATGGAGTTAAGCATGAAAAGATCCCAGCATCCCATCGTCAGAAGAAGCTATTTCAATAACCGATTGTTTGATGGTGATGAGACAATTTTATTGCTAAAAAAGGGTGCATCTCGTTGGAAAACAAATCAGGTATACAGATGCATAACAGTGTAAAACAGGTCGGATTACTCTTCAAAATTGATCCTAGAAAGCAATATCATCAGTTGAACTTGCGGCCAACTGAATCGTAGCTGGGGACACTAATGACTGCAAAAAATGAGAAAAGCTAACAAGTTAAAATCTACAATGCATTGCAATAAGTGAACTAATTCAGTGATTAAGTTTTGAGTAAACTCCAAACTACCGTTTCCATATGATGCCATTGTGAGAGGAGATGATAGAAGCTTTTGGGCTACTGAAGAAATATCCTTCGGTGTAATTTCATCAACAGCCTTCAGGAAATGCTCCACAGGTTTCCTGATATATCCAAAACAATTTTATTGTGTAGAAAACGGATTATCATATCTCTCTTATTGTATATATAGTTTTATATACGTTACATATGAAGAAAAGGCAAATATTAATAATAGGCCAAAAGCTATGGTACTTGAATTGGGTATGAGTGATACATAATGGTATATGTCACACAGGTACATTTATTTGTTTCTAAGTTTCTTCATTTATTTTTAAGGGCCTTTGTAAGAATATCCTCATTTGCATATATCGATATGCATCAATTACTGTTATCAACGTAGAATCCTAGATACTATAAGAAAAATAAAGAGTTTAAGTAACATCACCCAACGCAGCGAAGGACAAAAGCTAAGAACATAATAAAATGTCATACCTCTCACCATATGTCAAAACTTGTTTCCCAATATCTTCTGAAGCAACCATCTGCAGAAACAGCATGTCATTTAACACTAAACAACAATGCTTGGCATGGAATTATGAAATGACCAGCATCATTAAATTCATCTACAATGAAGAAATTAAAGAGAATAGTTTACATACTCTAGACTCCAAATTCATCAAAATTGCAGACTTGGTTGACTGTTTAGCACGGTCTAATTGTATTTGGTCAACTGCAAAGAAAATCATGAAAAGCATTTCAGAAACAGTCCACTGAATGAACATTTAAGGAAATATAATAGTTGAGTTAAAGAGCAGCCAACCTTGTCCAGGTGTTGCGACAGCAATAAGCTCCTTGACAGCTACATCAACGGCAGTTGGTGCAAAATCAGAACCCTAAAATCAAAACCATCAGTATCATCCTATGACAAAGATATCATCAGCAGAAAGTGTGTACACAATTGCAAATTTAGAATAAATTCAGTGAAAGGCCAAGAGAGGGGAAAAGAAACGGTCAAGGGAAACTGTGAGTAACAAATATACAACAGTGGTTAAACTCGGTCAAATTTCAAATGTAAATTACTAGCACTGACAAAATAAAGATGAGCAAGAAAGAGGAGAGAAGTGTAGATCTAGGGAACAAAACATCCTTTCCAACAGATAAAAACGCCCCAATAAATCAGTGAACATTGTGAAAACCAATAAAAGAATGTTATAATATCAACTTGACCTCTTGCTATTGTAAAATATAAAGGGCAGCAAAGATAGAAGCGAGAATAGAGAACTGTAATAGAGCAGACTTACAGTGGTGGCTTGTATTCCAAATATGCCAGTATGATTATAAATGCTGTTGAATGCTGAAAATGACTGAACTTGTGGATACTCATTCAAGACACGGACATCTGCTCATAACATGACCAAAACATTTTCATACTGACTCAAACAAATTGACAACAAAAATAAACGAAACTTAGTGTCTCATAAGAGGGAAAAAAAAGCAAAAAACAAAACAAAACTTTATCTATTGTTCTCCATTAATACAAAAGGTAACAGTGTGCAGCACTAAAGATACACTTACATAGTCTTGAATACATTCCTTTCCCGGGGCCACCTGCTGAAAATGATCCACCCCCTCCCATCAGAATCTACAGAATAATTAGATAATCATTTTCCTATCTTGAGATCATGGTAGCAATTAGGGAGAATGAAAGATATACAATGAAAGAATAATTACGCTAGACAGGATAATCCCGGGAAGAAATTCATGAACTATATTTAAAATTAAAACAAGGTGGAACAAGAAAAATGAGCAGATAGAGAAATTCAATGTTGAATACCTGAAGAACAGTCAAAATTATAGCTTCCTTCTCCTTGTGCCAGCCACCAGGTAGTTCAAATGCAAGGGCAAAGTGAGTTTGATCCTACAGTTGAAAATCATTAGAAACACAAAACAGGAGAAATATAAAAGAAAGTTGTTTTAAGTAGCTATGATACATACCCCTAAATCAGCCTGACAGCGATAATCACCTCCAGTGTACACAGATTTTGGCTCTTGAGGACGAGGAATATTGGAAAGGTCTGATAGAAGTGGTTCAGCAACAGATAACAGTTCCTCATGTTCAACACCAGATGCTGCCAGCACCATTCGAGAAGCAGTGAAGTTTTCCTAATATTTTCATCAGAAACCAAGCTTATTAGTGAGAAGATCACACAAAGATCAGCTACAATCTCAACTACAATGACACAAATAGCACTGAAAGGTGAATGCATACTAAATAAAGTTTTCTTCGTAACTATAATGATATAGTTAGCCCCGAAAGCATAATACAGTTAAAACTCTATAAATTAATAATGTCATGACCGGAGAAATTTATTAATTTAGAGAGTTATTAATTTATCGATAAATTAATAATTATTAATTTAAAGAGTTTTTAAGTAATTATACTGTACATACCAAACAAAATGGCAAATTAGTCTATGCCTCTTAGAATTACGTTGTAAGAGATGAGTTAAATTAATAATGTGCTCCAAATAGACTTGAACTTTAAAGGAAAACAGACAACTATTGAATCATATTTCAATAGAGTGTAATATATTTTTTTCAGTTTCTATGAATTATTAATTTAGGATTTTCTTGGGACCGAAAATTATAAAGGGATCTCACGAAAAATTATTATCTTATTATTTTATCGAGTTTTTCAATTTTTTACATTGGCCCAAGTCGGGACCGGACAAATTTATTATTTTAGAGAGTTTATTAATTTACTGAGTATTAATTTAAAGAGTTTCTACTGTAAATAAATTCGTAGACTCACCAGAACAAAATCCTCTAAAACTGTACTAGTCAATGCATTTACTGCAGACTCGGAGGCTAAAAGAGGATTTGCCAAAGCACCAGAATAACCAGCCGAGTGAATGGCCTCCAAAAGCATGCCATGATGATTCTTTGCAGCTTCAGCAATTTCCTCTTTCATTTTTTGAAGCTGCAGATGGTTAAATATTGAATTATCATTTCACAAGGGATTCAATCTAAAAAGGTTCAGAATTATTTAGCCTAAAAACAGAAAGCTTAAGACATCTACCTGTTCATTCACCTCCCAATCCAAGAAAGCTGGGTTTCTCACACAGTCAATAAGCAGCTCTACCATTTCAGGAACATAAGTCTTCAAAGCATCAAAGGTATATCCAATCTGCTCCCGAGAAACTGCAGCTTGCACATTGCCACCAATTGCCTCTACTTCCCGGACAATCCGCAAATGGCTTCGGTTTGTCGTGCTCTTGAAGGCCATACGCTCAAGCAGGTGGGAGATCCCAAATGAGGCAGGTGACTCGTAAATTGAACCGCAGTCAACATATAATCCTATTGATGCAGCAGGATTCTGCTTGGCAACAAGTTACAAAATTAATCTTCCAAAAGAAAAGACCTTATATGAGAAAAAATTCTTCACAAGAAGCAGATCCATACATACCGCAGAGGTTTCTGAAGCAATTTTAAGGCCATTTGGGAGAGTTGTAATCTTAGTTTTACCAGGTTCAACATGGTCAGGCAATGAAGATGGTAGAGCAACACCTGGCAGAGGAAAATCTAGTGGCGGTATGGACTTGGACTGACCTCCAGTGAACCAACTAAGGAGGCCACCTGAAGAAGAAGTTGTAGCAGCAGCAATTGAACTCGAAAGCCTTGCAGGTACTCGGCGGCATGTGCGACTCTATACTCTCATTTTCAAGAAAAAAACATATCACATTTCCAAGAATTCAGACTATCAACATTTGAAAATTTTACTGGATAAATCACAGCTGAAGTGTCAGTTTTTTTTAAAAAAATGGCACGTGAAACAGCTTAACATCAATGCCCAGTTAAAAAAAATGGGTAGCCGAGATATACAATCAACATAGAGAAGCAAGTAACAAGCTAAGAATCAATAGTAGATAAAAAGAACAGATCTATTGACTATAAACGAAAATCATCGCAGAAAGCATAATCGAAACGAATTAACTTTGTTATATTCGAGACTCGAGACAGATTGTGGGAGCAAGATCGAACCATCAGAATTCATGAATTAGGGTTTGAGGATTTGCGGAACTGACCTTGAGAGCCCGGAGGCCAGAAGCCGAGGTTCGGTACATCGTGAACCAGCAATCTCAAAGAAACCCTAGAAATTAGAATGTACGGACGCTGTAAAACTCTCTCTTTGGCTTAGATGCCGAAGGGCTTTGTTTTAATGGGAGAAACTCGTTTTAGTCGTTGACGGTTTTTGTCTACGCTTCAGTGATGTTGGAGGAAGGGTAGATTGGCAGATGAGGGTATCCCACACACGTGAGCAAAGAAATGGCTTGCAATCTGAACCGTCTGCTCACGTTTTCTTGCTGATGATCAATCCATCAGCCGTCAATCGGCGTACTTCTTACCAAGGCAATAAGTTTACTTCGACCGCGGTCTGATTTACGGGAAAAAAAATTATTATAGAATAATAACTTATTATTAATAGTATATTTTTTTATTAAAACGATAGAAATGTAATTATTTTCAAAATTTTAATTATTACACAATTCTTATCATTTCGAAAAAAACTACTCTTAAAATAATAAATTTTTTTCATATCAATCTTTATTGATTCTTATTCTTTGTGTTTTACTCAAAATTATAAATATAAATTAATATATAAAGTTTAATTTAATAATATATTAATAAATTTGAGTAGTTAAAATTGTTTTTTATTTTTAATATGTAATATATTAACTGTTTTTATTTTATGAGGTAAAATATATAATTATTGTAAAAATATAATTATTTAGAATTATATCTAACTTTGAGTTATTAAAAAATTATTCTTATATATTGAAAAATAATATCTTTGTCCACTTGAGATCACAATATTATGTTTTCATATTATATTATATTTTATATAATTAAATATGATACATATGAATTTTATTTAAAAATATAAGTTTGATATTCTAATTATATTAATTATATGTTATATGTATTTTTTCTCAAAAGTTAGATAATGTAAATATTAATATATTTTTATAATTTTTTATTCAAATATTTATAATTTAATATTAAAGTTTAACTTATTGAAAAACATATATCACAAGGATAATTCTGCAAAATATGCATCTAAATAATCTTATATTCACCTGACTAAACATTATAATTTTACATTCATGTTAAACAAACTAAATACGTAATACAACATTCACGAGATAATGTTATATTCTAGTGATTTTATTCTCAAGAAAAATCTTACATTTTCTGAATCAAACGCCCTTTGAGAATTAATTGTGCCAAACGTCCTCATATTAAGGTCTAAAATTTAAAAGTTATATAAATGAATCTTCAAAACATCAATATTGTATTAATCAAATTATATTATTAAATTAATTATTAATTCGATAATGATAAACTTGATGCTTTTGAGTTGTCAAAGATAATTCTTAAATTTGATCGGATACATATCAATAAGAGCGGAGTTAGGATTAAACATTGGAAGTGTCAATAATTTATTAAATAAAAAAATTAGACGAAAAAATACCTTTATTAATATATAAATTAAAAAGAACTTAAAATGATATTATATCAAAAAATTTGAGAGGGACAACAACATGCCTCATACAAAAAATGGCTCTGTCCCTACGTATCAGTACAACAGTAAAAATATAATTTTATATATAGAGATCTCACGTATTTCATAAGACAATAATTATCTTTAACTATTGTATTTATATGAGTTTGATCAAGTTTAAGAATTTTTTTAACAACTCAAAATTTAACAAAATATGATCATGATATCCTCGATTATGATATTATTTATATATGAGTTTTTTTCTAAGTGTTTCAATGCAGTCTTTTAAATATATAACTAATAAGTGATTGAAGACGAAGTTTATAAACACGTATTAATGTCGTCGTTTGATTCGTGCTCATACTAGTGTTGTCTTTAACACATACTGCAAATATTATTATTTTTTAAATAAAATTATATAATATTTTTAATTTTTTAACTCATTATTCTTTATTTTTTTTCATTTTAGATGACACAAGTATAGAGGAGACCGTTAAATAGATATGACAGTTGTCAATGCATCCCTATAAAACATATCTTTTAGAAAGCGTTTCTATTATCATGGTGTCTTAACCAAAAATATATCATTTTGGTAGGTAATATTGTTTAGATACTATTATAGTAAAATGTTATTTTAGATATTATTTCCATAATATTCCCTAAAATATAATTGATTGTCCCGAGATTTTAAAATAAATGATTGTATGAGATGGTTTGATATTCAATACTGTCGAAAATTTTGGAGATTTGATCAAACAGACATATATTTACTGAATATTTACCTTTTTAGCACCGTTTAATATATATTTTTCGAAGTGGCACTCTTTCGGCTGAGTTGGCGAAAGGCGCGTCTCCGGGGACGCGCTTTACTCGTATTTTCGCTGAGTTGGATGCCACGTGTGGAAGGCGCATCCCCGGGGACGCGCCTTCACTGACTCAACTGCCACGTGTAGAAAGCGCATCCCCGGGGACGCGCCTTCCATTAAATGCCATAAATGCCCCCATCCGTTTTCCCTAACTACCCCTCCTCCTCCCCTATATAAACCCCCTCAACCCTCCCTCATTCTTCACACCAAAATCATATTTTCCTCTTATATAACTCAAATTCTCAAACTATTTGAGTTTTAAATTTGTTATTAGTGGTAAGAAATTTATTTTTATGTTAATATTTTTTTAAATAGTTATTATATTTTATATTAATATATTTATGTAAATATTATTTTTATTAAAATAATATTTATATAATTATTATTTATTTAGAATTATTAATTTTTTTGTGCTAATTATATTGTTTTGTCTACAGTTATAATGGAAAACAAAATGCTGTTGCGATTGAATATTGATCATATCTTCAGACATTTTAGCGATATGGTAATATTTTTTATAATTAATGTTAATATTTAAATTTATTTTTATTTTAAAGTTATTATGAATTTATATTAATTTTTATTTTTTATAATGTATATTATTTAGGATACTGATCGTATTTTAGAGACTTTTATTAAAAATCCACGTATATCGACACCAGAACGTATTTTGCCATATTTGGCTTCTGCCGGGTTCGGGTATATTGCAACAATTATTGGCGGTTGCAAACTCAAACCTGTCCTAATTTCTGCACTGATTGAGAGGTGGAGGACCGAGACACACTTTTCACATTCCATGTGGAGAGGCAACAATTATATTGGAGGATGTCTCTATGCATCTGGGGCTTCCCGTCGACGGAAATATGATGTGTGGTATGGCGGATGGTGATTGGCAGTCAATGTGCATTGATTATCTTGGAGCTGCTCCGCCAGAGTTTAATGGAGGTAGAATAGCTTTATCTTGGTTGAAAGCTAATTTTGAGGTTTTAAATGAAAATGCTTCAGAGGATCAAGCAAAGGCATGTGCTCGGGCATATATTCTACGAATAATTGGAGGAATATTGATGCCCGACAAATCTCGCAACCAGGTGCATTGTATGTGGTTGCGACATCTGATCGATTTTGATGAAGCTGGAAGATATAGTTGGGGCGCTGCAGTTTTGGCATTTCTATTTAGAGAAATGTGTCGGGCGACGAATTATAAGAAAACTGCAAACTATTACGGAAAATACAAGAAGAACGATGAACGCCAGTTAGTCGTGCGGATGTGTATGTTACTTTTTCCTAATTTTTCTATCAATTTCTTATTACTTATTTATACTTCATATTAACTATTACATATTCCTAATGGCTTAGGTTACGAACTCTTACCTCAAAGGTTTGAGTCGATGCTACAAGAGTTGTTTGGAAAAAATAAGAAGGGGTGCGAGTACATTATGGACATCAGCAAAGAAATGTGGACAAATGCATATGACGGGGGGTATCGCTATGGTCATATGACAACAAACTTGGTTGAAGCAATAAATTCAACCTTAAAGGGGGCGCGTCATTTACCAGTCACGGCGTTGGTTAAAACGACTTATTTTCGTTTGGGTCAACTCTTTGCAAAGCTCGGTGGACAAGCTCTTACTTGGATGCAAAACAACCATATTTACCACCCAATACTAGTAGTTGATTTATAGAAAAAAATGGCTGCATCAAATGGGATGTTAGTTACAAATTTTTCTCGCACCCGTGAATTGTTTTGTGTAACCGAAATGTCACGTCCGCTGCAAGGGATTGGAGCTAACTCTTTCAGAGTTAATCTGCAAGAGAGGTGGTGCGATTGTGGTTTCTTTCAAGCACTCAAATATTCATGCTCTCATGTCATTGCAGCTTGCTCACATTCGCATTTGGACTACAAAAATTATGTTGATCCTGTATACCAACTTTCACAAGTATTCAAGGTATATTAATTTGAGTTTCCGCCCATAGGAAACGAAAGAGACCCAAATGAGATTCAAACTTGGCTTACAATTGTATCAGATCCATTGTTATTGAGGGACTCAGGTCGTCCAAAATCTACTAGAATACATTGTGATATGGATATTCGGGAGAAGTCAACAGAACAAAAACGATGTGGGCATTGTAGAAACATCGGACACGATAGAAAAAAATGTTCAGCTCTGTTATCATCATATAACCGTTAACTCTTATGTAATTAATATTGTATTTAAATGAATGTTTTTGTTTCTAATAATTTAATGTTATTGCATTTTTATAATTTGTCAATGTATGTACACCTAAATAATTTTTTTTAACTTTTAAATACATAAATATTTTTAATATATTTATTTAATATAATAATTAATATTATTAGTTATAATTTTTTTTTTTAAATATAATAATAATTCCACCTTCTAAGTAGAGAAAAATATTAAATTAAACAAATTAAAAGTTATTAAAAAATTTATGTATACGATGACACATTTCATGTTCTGATTGGAGGATTAAATTTATTAAATTAAATTTTCAATAAGATTAATTTCATAAAATATGTAAGTCTTGAAGATTAAATATGTAATTATACTAATTTATTAACTTATGCATCAATATTTTCGTTAAATATTGATAAGAGATGACTAGATTGATAACATTTAAATAATTAATTGATAAAAATAATAGATCGATAGTCAAAATCAAAAATAATAATATAAACATATGTGTAATATTATAATTTCATACATTTTTCCTATAACTACAATAAAGTCAAATGGTTTTCATATATTGTTCTATCATATTAATGTAGATAACTCACTCCACCTTTAACACACATTAACAAAATACA